TCCAAAAGAAATATTGTATCTGAGATTTTTTCAAAATAATCTGAGGAAATGAGTGGAGTGAGAGTGGAAACAAGACAGGCCATGAGTTGTTAATCATTGAAACTAAGCAACTGATATATGTGTTCATTATAGTATCCTCGCAGGGGTATAACTGAAAATTTCTATAATCAAAAGTGAAAGGAGGAGAGAGGGTGATGGAGGGGGAAAGAAATATGTCTCAAAAAACAGAAGCAAAAACAAAAAAGAAAGGAGAAGAAAGGAAAAGAAAAACGAAGCTTAGTAGAACCTTAGAAACCATTTCCGAAGTTGTGACTAATATGGCAATAACATTAACTGTGTCCTTAGGAGGCTCATTTCCCCTAAAATTCAATTTATATTCACTGTTTTATCAGATTGTATGAGTTATCTGGGGCTACACTATGGATGTATTGACATATAAAAAGAAAAACCAACAAATTTGTTACTGATGCTTTTTTTTGTTATAATAGAAAATTTTTCTGTGCTCATTTACATTGGATAGACATGCATTTAATTCAGGAGATCATATTCGTTCCTTAACTATTCAGAAGACGTATCTAGTGCTTATCACATAGGAATTCTGATAGACTCAGCATTAAAGGATTATTAACACAAAAATAGATTCTGTCTTCTCTTGTTTGGCTAAGGGATTATAAGTTTACATAAATGATTTCTTTTTTGTGGGGGACAAGGTCTCACTATGTCACCCTGGGTAGAGTGCTGTGGCATCACAGCTCACAGCAACCCCAAACTTCTGGGCTTAAGCGATTCTCTTGCCTCAGCCTCCCAAGTAGCTGGGACCACAGGTGCCCACCTGGCTATTTTTTAGTTATAGTTGTCATTGTTGTTTGGCAGGCATGAGCTGGATTGAAACCTGCCAGCTCTGGTGTATGTGACTAGCACCCTAGCTGCTCAGCCAGCATAGATGATTTCAATGAGGAAATTTTAGGTACAATAAGACAAACTTTTGATACTCAGAGAAGACTCAGACTTATATGTAGTTCTGCATTGTTAGTGGGTGTTTTGTTTTTCTTTCCTTTTTTTTTTTTTTTTTGCTGTAGTATGCTTTTTAATTCTTTTTTTTTTTAATTTCTCATAGCATAACTATGTACATTAATGCAACCATGGGGTACAGTGTGCTGTTCTCACGCACATCTTGAAATACTCTCATCAAACTGGTCAAGATAACCTTCATGTCATTCTCTTATTGAGTCAAAATGTTCATACTCTGCTTTTAGAAAGATTCACCCATACCTCTGTAAGACAAACCACAGAGGTGACCCCACCAATCTCCCTCCCTCCCGCCATCCACCCCCCTCACCTCACCCTCCCACCCCCTTCCCATATTCTAAGGCTATAATTAGGTTATGACATTCCTATAAAAGCTATGAATTAGTTTCACAATAGGGCTGTGTACATTGGATACTTCTTCTTCCATTCTTGAGATACTTTGCTAAGAAGAACATTTTCCAATTCCATCCATATAAAGATGAAGGAGGTAAAGTCTCCAGGTGTTTTGTTTTTCACTGTAGTAGGCAGCCTTCAAAACCACCCAATGTTGCGTACCTTCCAGTATTTATAACCCTTTCTCTTGAGTGTGGGCTGGACATAAGAACTCATTCTAAATGAACAGAAAATGACAGAAGTGGTGGGATGTCACTTCTACAATAAAGCCTTAAAAGACTGTGCCTTAAACCTTGAGTACATGTTGTAAGGTAGACCTGTGGAGAAGCCCAAATGGCAAATGAATGAGGCCTGACAACAAAATTTGGGTAAGCTCAGGAATAGAATCCATTTCTTCATCAAACCTTCAGATGAGAATGCAGCCCCAGCCTTTAACAGACATGAGAATCCTTCAGCCAGAGAAACCCAGTTCAACTATACCTAGATTCCTAATCCATAGAAACTATGAAATAACAAATATTTGTTATTTAAAGTCACAAAATTTGGGGGTAATTTATTAATTCAGCAAGAAGAATAAAATGTTCAACTTAGTAATAACTACTCACGGTCATTTATACATTTGTTAATTCAACCTTGAATAAACACTCCCCTTTTTTCAAGACTCTAGCCTTTGGAAAGACCTCAGATGGGGTTGTATATTATAGTTAGGCCTAGGCCAAAGTAGAAAAATACCAGTTAGCTCCTGGCAAATTTCTGGGCTATAAGCCCTCAACAAAATGGAGTAAGTCTGGTTCACTCTCAAGATAGATGGGAAAGTATTCACTAACTTCTTGCTTGACTAACTCCTCTGAGAAACCTGGAAGTACCAACTATCCCCAGACTGACCAGAAACACCAGGTGGGGTAAATATTAAAACAAAGAGGTATAACGTATGGCTAACTAACTGCAAGATTCTGCTTCTGTACAATGCTTACATACTACCCTACCTGGATGCACCTGGACAGCCTGCATGCCAACCAGTATGCAGACCAAGCCTTAAAAACTCGACCCCTTAAGCACTCAGGGCTGCTCTCAGAAACCCCATGTTGGGATACTGAGGCAGTCGCCTGCTGGCTCTTCAACAAAACAACTCTGCTGTAAATTTGGCTTGTTTGGCAGTGTAGTCTTTGTGGAACTCCTGGGCACAACAGTATTCTGTCAAACATGACAGAAATAGAAAGGTACATAAACCACACTTTGGACAAAAGATGGGCAGGAAGAGCTCCCTAAGGAAAATGCATCATAGGTGAAGGGCTCAGAAGTAGGAAAGCAATACTGAACTTGAAAAACTGTAAGGAGTTTTCCTGAAAGATGTACATAGAGTGTGTAGGGCTATTTGTCATGGGCACCTATTAAGAGGTTTAGCCTTTGGTATCACAGAAATGCAAGTCCACATCCTTGTTCTACCACTTTACAACAATGTTTACAAGCATGATTTAGACATGACCTTTGTACCTAAATCCTCTTCTAGAAAATAAGGATACTACTTACTATTCCCAAGGGTTAAACATGCATGCTGTGGTACTTAGTATGAAATTGGTGCTAAAAATCGTTGGCTTATATTATTACTATTTTGTTACTTCATTAGTTGTAAGATGAGAGAACTTAAATTCAGGAGCAATGGAAGGCCAAAAACCAGATTTCCATGGGAGAGAATTTGATAAGACACATAATTTAGAATGGTCACTCTAATAGCCATATGAAGAATGGAAAGGAGGTAGCAAGACTGGAAGTTGAAGATCGGTTAGCAGAGTATTGCAATAATCCTGAAAAGAGCTGAGAGTGCCCAGTATAGTGGCAGCGGTGATTAAAAAAAAAAAAAAGACACATTTTCAGGGACACTGAGAGGTAAGACTCAAATGTCTAAGAATTTGATCATTGGGAAATGAAAGAGAATGAGTCAAACATGAGGGAATTAGGTAAATAATACACATTTCCAGAGAATGAAAACCAAAAAGATAGAGGAGGACTGGCTAGAACAAGAGTTTATGAATGTGAAATGTCACTGACGTTTAATGTACCAAAGAACATCTGATTGAATGAACAGATTTGCAACACAGAATAGTGAATAACTAAACACAGAGCTAGGAAATGATTTTCATCTGTAGAAAATAGACTATATGTGAAGCCATCAGCATGTTTTTTAAAGAAATTCACTTGAGGGCGGCACCCGTGGCTCAGTGATTAGGGTGCTGGCCCCATATACTAAGGGTGGTGGATTTGAACTCAGCCCCAGCCAAACTGTAACAAAAAAATAACTGGGCATTGTGGCAGGTGCCTGTAGTCCAAAGTATTCAGGAAGCTGAGGCAAGAGAATCGCCTAGGCCCAAGACCCAGAGGTTGCTATGAGCTGTGACACTATACACTCTATGGAGGGCAACAAAATGAGACTCTGTCACTACAGGACAGGACAGGACAGGACAGGACAGGAAAGGAAAGGAAATTACTTCTCTTGCCTGTGTATAGAAACCTAAAAATAACAAACAGAATCCTGCAAAAGAAACCATCGACCCAGGAATGGATTAATAAATTGTAGTATATGTATACCATAGAATATTATGCAGCCTTTAAAAAGATGGAGACTTTACCTCTTTCATGTTTACATGGATGGAGCTGGAACATATTCTTCTTAGCAAAGTATCTCAAGAATGGAAGAAAAAGTATCCAATATACTCAGCCCTACTATAAAACCAATTTATAGCTTTCATATGAAAACTATAACCCAATTATAGCCCAAGAAGAAGGGGAAAGAGGATAGGGACAGGAGGGGAAGGGTATGGGTAGAGGGATGGTAAGTGGTGGGACCATACCTGTGGTGCATTTTACAAGGGTACATGTTAAATTTACTAAGTGTAGAATATAAATGTCTTACCACAATAACAAATATAAATGTCTTACCACAATAACTAAGAAAATGCAGTGAAGTCTATGTTAATATTGATGAAAATATTTCAAATGGTATATAAAACCAGCACACTGTACCCCATGATTGCATTAATGTACACAGCTGTGATGAAAGAAAGAAAGAAAAAAGAAAGAAAGAAAGAAAGAAAGAAAGAAAGAGAGAGAGAGAGAGGGAGGGAGGGAGGGAG